AGTTACCTATTGTTTCCTCTTTGTTTGAACAAATTTCAGAATCGATGGATACATTAGGGGAAGAGGAGGATATGTTAGATTATGAGTCTACACCGGTTCATGCAGGTATGGATATTAATATGGTGTATTACTTACCCGTTGAGTTTCATGCTGTAGATGAGGAAGGGGAGGTGGCTCAGCTGGATTTTGGCCCTAAAAACGCAATATTCGAGAAGCCAAAAGAACCAGTAACGCATCTGAAACTGTTATATCTCAGAGGTCATATCAATGGGTCACCGCTCACTCGGATGCTGGTTGATGGTGGTGCTATGGTGAATCTTATGCCATATTCGGTCTTCAGAAAATTGGGGTTGCATGATGAAGAGTTGATAAAGACCAACATGGTGCTCAATGGATTTGAAGCAAAAGAGAAAACTGAAGCCTAAGGTGTGATGCATGTGGAGCTTACAGTCGGAAGAAAAACTTTGGCTACTGCATTGTTTGTCGCTGAGGTGCAAGGTAACTACAACGTCATACTAGGCCGTGATTGGGTTCATGCAAACCAATGCGTGCCATCTACTATGCACCAGTTTTTAATCTAGTGGGTTGATGATATAGTGGAAGTCATTCATGCGGATAATTCGGCCTGTGTTGCTTTGGTCGATGCATCGGTGGATTGGCAACATCCTAATGCTACTTGCTTGACGGGGCGCGACTTATCAGAGTTTGATTTTCTCAGCGCGACCAAGAATGGTTTCGTGCCCGTCTCTTTAAAGATGGCTGAATCCAATCGGCTCCAAGGTATGATATGTTTAAATGGATCCTAACTAAGAGTGGTTACAAAAGCGACTTGTAGAATATCGGTCCAATGAGAACGATATGTATGAGTCTATAGAAGAGTTCGATGATATGGATAAATTAGGACAAGGTTTTACATCAGCCAATCCATTAGAAGAGATAGATATAGTAGATGGTTCAATTTCTAGTCCGACGCTTGTAAACAAAAAATTGAAAGCTGATTATAAAGCTAAGTTAATCGAGCTATTGAAAGAATATATCTGTTGCTTTGCATGGGAATATCATGAGATGCCAGGGTTAAGCCGAGAGCTAGTGGAGCATTAGTTACCTATAAAGGCTGGTTTTAGACCATATAAGCAATCGGCCAGAAAGTTTAATCCAAAAACATATGACTGGATCAAGGAAGAGATCGGTCGTTTGCTTAAAGCTAATTTTATTAGAGCTTGCAGGTATGCCGAGTGGATTTCTAACATTGTCCTAGTGGAGAAGAAAGGATCCAGCAAGTTGAGGGTGTGCATTGACTTCAGAGATTTGAATAGGGCTACACCCAAAGATGAGTATCCCATGCCAATAGCCGATATGCTTATTAATGATGCTTCTGGACATAAGGTTATTATCTTTCTAGATGGTAATTCCGGATACAATCAAATTTTTATAGCCGAAGAGGACATGTCCAAAACAACTTTTCAGTACCCTGGTTTTCTTGGTTTATTTGAGTGGACAGTGATGACATTCGGATTAAAAAATGCTGGCACCAAATATCAAAGGGCTATGAATTTGATTTTTCATGATTTACTCGGTGTCATACTTGAGGTTTATATTGATGATATTGTTGTCAAATTGGATGCTTTTGAGTCTCACTTGGCCGATTTGCGTGTAGCCTTTGAAAGAATGAAAAAGTATAGACTGAAGATGAATCCTTTGAAGTGTGCATTTGGTGTGTCAGCTGGCAAGTTTTTGGGTTTCATTATTCATGAAGATGGCATAGAGATCGATCCCAAAAAGATAGAGGCCATACAAAAAGTGGAGGTTCCAACATGCAAGAGAGATATGCAAAAGTTCCTTGGCAAGGTCAATTACTTGAGGAGGTTCGTAGCTAATCCGTCAGGGAAGGTTGATGTGTTTACTCCTATCCTTTGGTTAAAGAATGATGCTGATTTCATTTGGGGGGCAAAACAACAAGAAGCATTTGAAATGATCAATAATTATTTGTGCACTCCTCCGGTGATGAAAGCACCCAAGCATAGGGAACCCTTCAGGATTTACATTGCAGCAGAGGAAGGAGTTATTGGTGCTGTTCTGACTCAAGAAATCGAAGGAAAAGAGCATGTCGTCACTTATTTGAGCCGCCGCTTATTGGACGCCGAGACAAGGTATACATTTATTGAATAATTATGTCTATGTTTATATTATGCTTGCACAAAATTGAGACGTTATTTAGTGTCGAGTTCTTGCACAGTAGCTTCTCAGACCGATGTCATTAAATACATGTTGCATAGACCAATTCTTAGTGGTAGAATTGGCAAGTGGGCTTATGCTTTGATTGAATATGATTTGGCTTATGAATCTCTAAAATACATGAAAGGCCAAATCGTTGCTAATTTTATTGTTGAACATCGGATTGATGACAAACATGATGTTGATATAAACCTTGTCTCACTAGTACCGTGGAGATTATATTTTGATGGTTCGATTTGTAGCAATGGACAAGGTGTTGGTATTTTTTACATATCTCCTCATGGTGCTGTTTTTGAAGCCTCATGTCGCTTAGAATATTTTTGTACAAACAATCAGGCCGAATATGAAGCATTATTATCCGGCCTAGAGATGTTACTTGCTATAGGTGTTACACATATTGAGGCTTATGGTGATTCATTATTAGTAGTGCAACAAATATCCAAAGTCTTTCAATGTTTTGACGAATCACTTAATGTTTATCTTGATCAATGTTTAGATATAATTTCTACTTTGGATTATTTTAGCATTGCTCATATATCTAGACATGACAATTGGAAAGCAAATGAGTTCGGAGAACAAGCATCCGACTATCATGTTGATCGTGGCATGTTTCATATTTCTGAAAAGCCGATGTCTAGTCTTGCCAACATAGGGGAGGCCGAACCGGAGCCCACCGTTTCGGTCACTAATGAAATATTCAATGCAGGAGAAAATCAAGACTGGAGGAAACCCATTGTTGATTATCTGTGTGATCCTAGTAGAAGGGTCACTACTAGGAAAAAGGCTACTAGCAGCGCGGGTAAAATGGCTACTAGCAGCGCGGGTATCTGCGCTACTAGTATCATGCTACAGCTAATAGTTAGTAGTAGCGTGGGTTAAACCCGTGCTACTACTAACTTTGTTAGTAGTAGCATGTGCCACCCACGCTGCTGCTATTACGTACACGCGCTACTACTAATGAAATAGTAGTAGCGTTGGTAAAAAAACCAACACTAGTAGTATCCTATATACTAATAGCGCTCAGTTTCCTCCCCACGCTACTACTAATCATTTAGGAATTAAAAAAATAAAAATTAGATGTAGTATTCATGAATGGTAATGCGTCCAATGCCAAACAAACAAATGTCACTGAACCATCTCAATATTCCATTTAACATGTCACAGACCATTTCAAGATTCGATTTAACATCAGACACACACAACCATCATCGTAAGGTGGGTACCTTCCCTAGTGGTCTACCACCAACCTAAACATACCACTTCTCTAGATGTATCTACCTAGGCTCGGAGTTTAGACGTCGGTGGACTCGAATCCTCCCTCCCCCGGATGATGGCGTCAAGGTCCTCCACACCTCGGAGACCTCCGGCATTGAAATCACCTGGACAGCATGCATGGTCTGAATCAGTGGTTGGCAGGATCAAAAGAGCAAAGAACTAATGGCACTGCTGTTATCACAGGCCTCATCTGGGAAGCTCCTTACCGTGGTTCATATGTCTAGCCTAGCTATATCATCAAGCTTAATTATATTTATTTATTTCTTGACCATGCATATGCAAGTAGTACTATGCAAAAACGACAGATATAGGAAGTAGTGAGACATGTGAGGTACCAGTACTGGATGCATACGGTAAATGAATGAGTGAGGAGTGATGGTAGTGTGGTACTGACCCAGCAATCAGCTCAGGTAGCTAAGGGAATAGCTCTGATTCTCTGAGCCTGATGATCTCGGAGGTGGTGGTGTCGATGGACTGGGTGGCCACCAGCATCTTAGACTCGAGGCTCTCCATCTCCATGCTGTTCTTCTCCATCTTGAGGTAGTCCACATCCCTCACCTCCTGCTTCGTCAGCAGCCCCACCTTCTTATCATGCTCCTGCTTAAGCCCCTCGTAGTTCTGCCCAGTCGATTGTATGGTAGCGAAAGCGTCACATAATAGTATGTGGTAAGTTTTGATGCTATAAAAGGGCAAAATTGACTCTGCAAAGCCATGTATGCACTGTTCCTATCTACATCAAAAGAAGCACAAAGATTTGTATCTTTAAAGCTGTAAAATAAAGCTGACATTTGATGATTACTTAGTGAAAGACGATGAAACAACCTATCTTTAGTTCTTTACCATGGCAAATGAGCTGAACAAGTTTAAAACTATTCGGCGAAGGATCACATCAGTTGTATACCAATATTCGGAGAACGGAGCAGCACATGAAATTCTGTCTTACAGGTTATAAAATAACACGCAAAGATCGAACATTTTTTGTATCTATATGCAGAACCATTGCTACTGAAGGCAAATTGCCTGCTGTTTATTTGTAGAGGTTACCCCACTCTGTCTGATATATGTAAGACAAGTGCATTTACTACTTTGTTGGATTTATACGAGAACAAATAAAGCATATCATGTTTTTAGTGTATTCATGTATAAGTTGTACACTTGTACAGCATGTTAAGTAGCAAGAGAGAGGGATCCAAGAATTTTGTGGGGAGGCATAATAGCATAACAGAAAGGGACTTGAATTTTCTAGATAGCAGCATATGAAGGCCAAAAGTATTTGCGAGATTCAGTTCAATATACTTAGAGAATCACTGATTTAGCTCTCGAACATCTAAAACAAGCTACTGGACATTGGGCAAGTAGTACTGATTCTCAAAATGAAATGACGCCAAGCGAGGACAAGTGGTATATGCGATATGGAAAGCTACCAGTCTACCACCACCATCCTAAACAATGAGCACACGAATACATTACTAACGGTCTGACGCCACATCTCAAACACTTGGTGCATTAGTTGAGTTACTGATGTAGTTAAGCTTCTTCATCTGCATCTCAGAAGCGGCTATGCCCAGAATCCCCATGGGCGCGGACAGCTAAATTGGAACAGCAAAACCACATGCACTATAAATCAATTTAATCCAGACAGACGCTCTAGTTCATCAGCTAAACAATAGAGCAGATCGACAGGAAATTCTGTTTCTGTACACACGTTAATTCCTGGCTACCAAAATTTGAGGGGTAAAAAAATGGCAATAAAACTCTTACACTGAATATTCGTGTACACATTCCTACAATGAATTTGTGCACACATTCTTCCACTAGTCACTACTAGTTACATGATTGAATTGTGATACCCTCAAACTAATATCAAGGTGCTGCAGTAGTCTAAATAAATAAAATCTTCATCTAACAAGGAAACTCTGATGAAAGATACCATCTCTTGCTCTGAATCTTCTGTAGACATTCTTACACTGAATTTATGAACACATTCTTCTACTATCCACTACTTACCAGTCACAGGGATTGAATGCTAAAATCAAGGTACTACAACAATCTAGTCTAGATAAACAACACAGGGCGCAAGGGGGAAGTACTCTTCGTAACAAAATCTCGCGGAAACCGCCTCATTAGTTGGAATTAGGATGCCATGGCAAAACGAACTGAAAAAGGAAAAAAGGCGGCCGCACTGACCTTGATGAACTCGGCGGGGATGCCGCGGACGGGCTCGACGAGCAGGCCGGCGCCCTCGAGCTCGCGCACCAGGCGCGCCATGCTGTCCTTCCCCGCCTGCACACGGCCTGCCAAATCGAATCCAAGGGGGTCAGGGGCTGCCTGCGGTGAAGAGAAAGAGAGGATAAGGGGGAACCTCACCTCCATGGCGTTGGTCCGCACTAGCAGCAGCAGGAGGAGGGTTAGAGGAGCAAGTAGCAGGACCTCCGACAGGCCGTCTGCATCGGCGGCGGGAAAGAGGGAGCCCTCCCCGCGCCGCGCCACGCCTGAAGAAGGAGGGCCCTAGCTAGGGTTTGGGGCCGGCACAAGGGCACGACGAGGAGGAGGATCCGCGCGTGAGGTTGGGGGCACCGGCGGTGGGGTTTGGGGAGAGGAGGTCGTCGGTGTCGGCGGTGGCGGCGGGGTTGGTTGGGGGAAACGTGGCGAGTGGAGGACGAGGAGAGGCGTCGGGGGAGAGAAAGGCAGAGCAGGGGTGAGAGGCTGAGGTGGGGCGGCAAGGAGATAACTTAGCAGTAGCATTGGGTTTATACCCCACACCAATCCAACGCTATTACTATGGTGTGTCGTGGGTGCACGGTGGAGACCATTTAGTAGTAGTGTGGGATTTATAAACCACGCTATTACTATCAACTTAGTAGTAGCGTGGGTTTATAACCCGCGCTACTACTATGGCTGGTCCCGAGGGGCACGGTGAAAATCACTTAGTAATACCGAGGGTTATAAATCCGTGCTACTACTATCAACTTAGTAGTAGCTGCGGTTATAAACCCACGCTACTACTAAGTAGCAGTAGCGAGGGTTATAAACCCACGCTACTAGTAAGCGTCTGTCTATAAGCTTTTCCCTAGTAGTGGGTGGACAGGGTTGTTCGGCGTATAGCTTTTAAATACACAATGAGAGATGATGATCTCTATCGCCGAACGGTTGATGATGTTCTTCTAAAGTGCTTGGACAAGGACCAAGCGAGAGTTGCTATGGGGGAGGTCCATGAAGTTATTTGTGGCACTCATCAGTCGGCTCCCAAGATGAAATGGTTGCTACGACGTGCTGGATTTTATTGGACGACTATGATTAATGATTGCTTTAGATATTACAAAGGGTGTGAAGCTTGTCAAAAATTTGGTGATATTCAGTTGGCTCCTACTGCTATGTTACATCCCATTATCAAGCCATGGCCTTTTAGAGGATGGGGTTTAGACTTTATTGGACAAATTCATCTGTCTTCCTCAAAGGGGCATCGGTTCATAATGGTGGCAACCGATTATTTCACTAAATGGTCTGAAGCAGTACCTCTCAAGAACATGACACATGCGGAGGTAATTAAATTCGTAACCAAGCACATTATTCATAGATTTGGCATTCCTCCAACGTTGACTATAGATCAAGGCTCATCTTTTATGTCACACCAAGTCAGAGAATTTGCCGAATCTCATAATGTAAGTTGCTCAATTCCTCTCCATATTATGCCCAAGCTAATGGACAAGCTGAGTCTAGCAATAAAATTTTAGTCAAACTCATCAAGAAGAAGATTGAGGACAATCCAAGGAGATGGCATGAGTTGTTGTCTGAGGCTTTGTGGGCACATAGGATCTCGAGCCGTGGTGCTACGAAAGTGACTCCATATGAGCTAGTATATGGTCAAGAGGTTGTTTTACTAGTGTAAGTAAATTTGAATGCTTTGAGAATAGCCAAACGAAATGATTTATCGGCAGTATACTTTTATAACTTAATGATGGACAACATTAACGAAGTTGCCGATAAATGTTTGGCTGCTTTGGAGGCCATAGAGAGAGACAAGTTGAGGGTGGCAAGAGCTTACAATAAGAAGGTCAAGTTGAAGAATTTTCAAGTTGGCGGTCTTGTATGGAAAGTGATTCTACCGATTGGTTCAACAGATAGAAAATTCGGGAAGTGGTCTCCAAGTTGGGAAGGTCCTTTTAGGATCGCTAGAGTAGTTCCCGGAAATTCATATCTGGTGGAATCCATGCAAGGGGAATTGTTACCTCGAGCTCTCAATGGAAAATACTTGAAGAAACACCACCCCAGTTTGTGGCAAGAAGCCTAAATAGGCAATGGACGATACATAATTATCGCCCTAAGAAAAATAAATGGCCGATGGAGTGTTGACATCGTCCTTAGAACAAACGTAGTACAAGTTATTTTTCGGCACACAAGCTTTGCCGAAAAATAGGGGGGCATGTGTTGACACCAGATTTTGGCATGTCAAGAATTCGGATTCGTATGCAAATCTTAGAGACAACACTTCTCGGGCCAGCCCTGAGTGAGAAAGTATTTGGCCTTTGCCGGCTGAATGAAAACTTTGCTGGTGTGAAGGCTTGCCGGCGTGGAAAGCTTGCCGGTGCAGAAAGCTCGCCGTTGTGGAAGCTTGCCGGTGCGAAATCTTGCCGGGGGAGAAACCTTGCTGGGGAGGAACCCTTGCCGGCGGAGAAACCTTGCCGGGGTAAAACCTTGCTGATGTGAAATCTTGCCAGGGGACAAACCTTGCCGGGGTAGAAACCTTGCTGGGGTAAAACCTTGCTGACGTGAAATCTTGTCAGGGGAGAAACCTTGTCGGGGAGGAACCCTTGCCGGGGTAAAACCTTGCTGATGTAAAGGCTTTCCGGGTAGAAACCTTGCCGGTGTGGAAAGCTTACCCGGGTGGAAAGCCTGTCGGGGTGGAGGCTATGATAGTCAAAAGGTTATTCAGATGATCTTGGATGGAAAAATATTCTACACGGAAGTTGTGTGTGTCGTCAAAATGATCAATTTTGATATAAAGATCATCTCAATCTGGGGTCGTATGCAAAAGTTAGAGCCCGCACAGCGAGACCCTCTAGCGAGTAAAATATGACGCCCGGAACCAGACACATATGTGGGTATGTCTGATGAGCTGTGTGAATAATTAGCTGTTGTGCGCTAGTGATTTGACCCTCGAGATGACCTCTGATGAAAAAACGTTCCTCATGAAAGATGTTCGTCTCGTCAAAACGGTCAAGATTGCTTTTGGGCTCGTTTCCATCCAAAGTCGTTTGCCACCACAAAAAGGACCCGCAAATTAGAGCCAGTTTAAACTGAACAGTTTTGGAAAGTTCGGATAAAACCAATGCGAATTTGACTAGGGTTTTGGACGTGAATTGTTGTAATTTTCTTCTAAGGAAAGCCAAGATAAATCCTTTGCTTGTACGGGAAGTCCAGCCGCCTCTTATATATGTTGGGGGTGACGGCCGATTGAAACAACACACAATCGAACAAATTAATATACTACTTTTTCATTCTATGTTTTGTCGCTCCACCGTTTTCTGTCTAGTTCTTCGCTATTCTTTGTGTTTGAGAGCTGTGAATCTCGAGGCTCTAGGGGTGAGAGAATCGACCTAGGGCATATCATAGCCACCGCAATTCCTGACGGGGTCCCTCCCGGGTGCGCGGGGTTCCGGGTCTGCAAAAGCGCCCGCCGACTGTCTTGCGTATCGCGCTGTCGGCCTGGTCTCCTTCAACGTGAGTTGTGGTGCATCACCCCCAGCGTTGAGGGTACACGTGACGTGTTCGTGTGTCAACAAACACTCAAAGGGTTTACTAGAGTGAGTAATCTTAGTTCACATCGACATGTGATTAACACCCAAAGAGTACTACGGTGTGATCATGTTTTGCTTGTGAGAGAAGTTTAGTCAACGGGACTGCCAAATTCAGATCCGTATTTATTTTGCAAATTACTATGTCTACAATGCTCTGCACGGAGCTCCTTTAGCTAATTGCTCCCACTTTCAATATGTATCCGGATTGTGACTTAGAGTTGTCCAGATGGGTGTCAAAGCTTGCATCGACGTAACTCTTTATGATGAACTCTTTATCACCTCCATAACCGAGAAATATTTCCTTAGTCCTCTAAGGATAATTTTGACCGCTGTCCAATGATCTACTCCTAGATCAAATATTGTACTCCCTTGCCAAACTCAGCGCAGGGTATACAATAGGTCTGGTACACAACATGGCATACTTTATAGAACCTATGGCTAAGGCATAGGGAATGACTTTCATTCTCTCTCTATCTTCTGGCGTGGTCCGGCTTTGAGTCTTACTCAACTTCACAATATGCAACACAGACAAGAACTCTTTCTTTGACTTTTCCATTTTGAACTACTTCAAAAACTTGTCAAGGTATGTACTCATTGAAAAAAAAACTTATCAAGCGTCTTGATCTATCTCTATGGTGCTCAGTATGTAAGCAGCTTCACCGAGGTCTTTCTTTGAAAAACTCCTTTCAAAAACTCTTTTATGCTTTCTAGAAAATTCTATATCATTTCCGATCGACAATATGGCATTCGCATATACTTATCAGAAAGGTTGTAGTGCTCCCACTCACCTTCTTGTAAATACAGGATTCACCGCAAGTCTGTACAAAACTATATGCATTGATCAACTTATCAAAGCGTATATTCCAACTCCGAGATGCTTACAACAGTCCATAGATGGATCGCTGGAGCTTGCATATTTTGTTAGCACCATTAGGATTGAAAAAACCTTCTGGTCGCATCATATACAACTCTTCTTTAATAAATCCATTAAGGAATGGAGTTTTGTTTATCCATTTGCCAGATTTCATAAAATGCGGCAATTTCTAACGTGATTCGGACAAACTTAAGCATCGCTACGAATGAGAAAAACTCATTGTAGTCAATACCTTGAACTTGTCAACAACCTTTCGCGACAAGAAGAGCTTTGTAGATAGTAACACTACCATCAGCGTCCTTCTTCCTCTTGAAGATCCATTTATTCACAATGGCTTGCCGACCATCGGGCAATTCCACCAAAGTCCATACCTTGTTTTCATACATGGATCCCATCTCAGATTTTATGGCCTCAAGCCATTTCGTAGAATCTGGGCTCATCATCGCTTCCTCATAGTTCATAGGTTCATTGTGGTCAAGTAACATGACCTCCAGAACAGGGTTACCGTACCACTCTGGTGCGGATCTTACTCTGGTTGACCTACGAGGTTTGGTAGTAACTTGATCTGAAGTTACATGATCATCATTAGCTTCCTCACTAATTGGTGTAGCAGTCACAGGAACAGATTTCTGTGTTGAACTACTTTCCAATAAGGGAGCAGGTACAGTTACCTCATCAAGTTCTACTTTCCTCCCACTCAC